ACAAAAATCAGATGATCATCTCAATAGACCCCAAAAAAGCAGTTAACAAAATCCAGCATCCCTTTATGATTAAAACCCTCAGCAAAACTGGCACACAAGGGACATACCTTAAGTCATCTATGACAAAGCCACAGCCAACATTGTGCTGAACGGGGGAAAGTTGAAAGCATCTTCCCTGAGAACTGGAACAAGGTAAGGATGCCCACTTTCACCACTTCCATTCGACGAAGTACAAGAAGTCCTCGCCAGAGCAATGAAACGGAGAAAGAAATCAACTACGTCCAAATCGGAAAAGAGGAAGTCGAACTATCATTGTTCGCTGATGAGAAGGTCATATACCTAGAAAGGCTTAAAGACTCATCCAAAAGCTCCTAGATCTCATAAACGAATTCAGTAAAGTTTCAGGATACAAAATTAATGTACACAAATCAGCAACACTACTATACACCAATAGTGACCAAGCTGAGAATCAAATCAACAACTCAATCCCTTTTACAATAACTGCAAAAAACAGTAAAATACCTAACAAGGAAATGAAAGACCTCTACAAGAAAAACTACAAAACTACTGAAAGAAATCACAGATGACACAAATAAATGGAAACGTATCCCATGCTCATGGATGGGTAGAATCAATATTGTGAAAATGACCACACTGCCAAAAGCAATCTACACACTCAATGAAACTGCCATCAAAATACCATCATCATTCTTCACAGAACTAGAAAAAACATTCCTAAAATTCACATGGAACCAAAAAAGAGCCTGCACAGCCAAGGCAAGACTAAGCAATAAGAACAAATGTGGAGGCATCACACTACCCAACTTCAAACTATACAACAAGGCCATAGTCGCCAAAACCAATCGTGGTACTGGTATAAAAATAGGCACACAGACGAATGGAACAGAACAGAGAACCCAGAAATGAAGCCAGATACTCACAGTCAACTGATCTTCCACAAAGCAATCAAAAACATAAAGCAGGGAAAGGACACCCTATTGAACAAATGGTGCTGGGATAACTGGCAGGCCATGTGTGAAAAATTCATCTCTCACCTCACACAAAAATCAACTCAAGATGGATCAAAGACTTAAATCTAAGACTTGAAACCATAAAAATTCTACAAGATAACACTGGAAAAACTCTTCTAGACACTGGCTTAGGCAAAGACTTCATGAACAACAATCCAAAAGCAAATGCAACAAAAAGATAAATAGATGGGACTTAATTAAACTAAAAAGTTTCTGCACGGCAGAAGAAACAATCAGAAGAGTAAACAGACAACCTACAGAATGGGAGAAAACATCCACAAACTATGCATCTGATAAAGGACTAATATCCAGAATCTACGAGGAATTCAAATCATCTAGTGAAAAACAAATAAATCAAAGAGTGGGCTAAGGACATGAATAGACAATTCTCAAAAGAAGATATACAAATGGCCAACAAACATATTAAAGCTCAACAATGGCCAGGTGTGGTCGCTCACACCTGTAATCCCAGCACTCTGGGAGGCCAAGGAGGGCAGATCGCCTGAGGTCAGGAGTTCAAGACCAGCCTGACCAACATGGTGAAACCCTGTCTCGACTAAAAATGCAAAAATTAGCAGGGTGTGGTGGCAGATACCTGTAATCCCAGCTACTCAGGAGGATGAAGTAGGAGAATTGCTTGAACCCAGGAGACGCAGGTTGCAGTGAGCCAAGACTGCGTCACCGCACTCCAGCCTGGGCAACAGAACGAGACTCTATCTCAAAAAAAAAAAGCTCAACATCACTAATTACCACGGAAATGCAAATCAAAACCACAATGCAATATTTAAAAATCAAAAACTAATAGATAGTGGCATGGATGTGGTGAAAAGGGAACACTTTTACACTGCTGGTGGGAATGTAAACTAGTACAACCACTATGGAAAACAGTATGGAGATTCCCTAAAGAACGAAAAGTAGATCTACCATTGATCCAGCAATCCCACTGCCGGCATCGACCCAGAGGAAAAGAAGGCATTGTACGAAAAAGACTTGCACAGGCATGTTTATAACAGCACAATTCACAATTCCTAAAAATACGGAACCAGCCCAAATACCCATCAATCAACAAGTGGATAAAGAAAATGTGGTGTGTGTGTGTATATATATATACATCACAAAATTCTACTCAGCCATAAAAAGGAACGAAATAATGGCATTCACAACAATCTGGATGGAGCTGAAGACCATTATTCTAAGTGAAGTAACTCAGGAATGGAAAACCAAACATTGCATATTCTCACAAGTGGGAACTAAGCTATGAGGATGCAAAGGCATAAGAAAGATACAATGGACTGTGGGGAGTCAAGGGGACGTGGGAGTGGGTGAGGGATGAAAAACTACACATTGGGTACGGTGTCCACTGTTCAGGTGATGGGTGCACCAAAATCTCAGAAATCACCACTGAAGAACTTATCCATGTAACCAGATACCACCTGTTCTCCAAAAACTATTGAAACAAAAAATATCAATAAAAAAAGTTTAAGTTTTAACTCATTTTATTTAGATGGATACTTTCTTGATGTATCTATCAATTCTAACACAAAAGCAAGCACTGTACTTCAGTGGGAGAGAACTAACAGCATTCTCATGCAGATCAGGTATAATCTGAAGACGTCCACGACCATGCAGTGTGGTTTCATGTGCACTGGTACACATCCGTAGAAAAGAGAGGAAATGGGGACATACATTAAAATTCAACACTGGAAAATAAGCGTTGTTTAGAAATGGTATCACTACATATTTGGAAAAGCCAAAAGAATAAACTACAACAACAACAAAAAAAATCCAAACCTTTAAGAGAATTCAGTATGATGACTACGTACAAAACTGATATACAGAAATCACAAGCCTTCATGTGTACAAAAAAACAAGCAGTTAGAAGATATAATGAAAACTATAACACTTGGTAACAAAAAGAAAACCTAGGAATAAGCTGAATAAATGTATAAAATCTATATGAAGGAAACATTAAAACATTTCTGAGAAACAAAAAATGAATTCACGGTAAGATATACCTGACTCTTGTCAATTCTCCATAAATTAGTAACTACATATTTTACGTAATCCCAATAAAAAACACAACAGAAAGGCAGGAGATGATAAAAGCTGACTCTAAATTTCAAATAGAAAAACAGCCAAGAAAAAAAAAGCTAGGGCACTTCTGAAAAAGAAAAGTACCTTGGAAGGAATTAGCTATTAACATATATCACAAAAACACAAAAATGAAAGTAATGTTAATGGATACACAGATCAATATCACTAGAAAATAAGAAACATTCTAAAATATAACTTTTGTAATATGTCACAAAATCCAGAAGTCTTAAAACATTCACTTTAAGACGTCTGAGCGCGCACACACACACACACACACACACACACACACACACACACAGTCAAAAGCCAAACAGAGCTAGGAGCAGTGGTCTTGGGAGGCCGAGATGGGAAGATGGCTTGGGGCCAGGAGTTTGAGACCAGCCTGGACGACTTCTTTCTTTAAAAAAAAAAAAAAAGCGCAGGGGCTGGGTGCAGTGGCTCACACCTGTAATCCCAGTACTTTGGGAGGCCAAGGTGGGTGGCTCCCTTGAGGCCAGGAGTTTGAGACCAGCCTGACCAACATGGTAAAATCCCATCTCTACTAAAAATACAAAAAATTAACCAGATATGGTGGTGGGCACCTGCAGTCCCAGCTACTTGGCAGGCTGAGGCAGGGGAATCACTTGAACCCAGGACGCAGAGGTTGCACTGAGCCGAGATCGTGTCACTGCACTCCAGTCTGGGTGACAAAGTGAGACTCCACCTCAATAAATAAGCCAAACAGGAAGAAATGTTTAGAACTCACATCAGACAAAAGAGCTAATGTTTAAACTGGGAAGCAATTTCTACAAATCAACTTTTAAAAAAAGCAGAAAAGAACTCAAAATAAAAATGGGTAAAGCATATAATCAAATAACAGAAAATACAAAGGATTTTAAATATAAAAATATGTTCAACTTTACTTACAATGAAAGAACTGCAACTACAATGACAGTGTTTTCTCACCTATCAGATTGCCAAAAAGTAAAAAAGTCTTTTAACACACTCTGTAGACAACTATGCGGGAATATATCGCTTTCATCACTGATAGTAGAAATGAAACTTGGTACAATCTCTTTAAGGCTACTTGGCAAAATCCATCAAAATTATAAATGCATATCCTTTCACTCAGCAGTTCGAGGACTTTATCCTAGAAATATACTTGACTTGACATATGTATAAACTAAATATGTACAACGCTTTTTACTATAGAATCATTTTATGTAAAGGTAGAAATTTTTAGCAAAATAAATGTCCATCAGTAGAAATTTTGCTAATTATAGTATATCCATACAATGTTATTAGTAACAACAATGAAGAAACCCTTGGAAAGAATACCAAAATATATTAACTGAAAAAAGGAGAAAGAACAAGTAGCAAGGAACAGTAAGATTTGTACTGAAATACACAAACACACACATTTTTTGGCTCATATATGAACGACGTGTTTGCCTGGATGCCCCTGGTCTGGGCTTAAAATTGTCATCTTATTAAACACATAAATGAAGTTGTACCATCCCAAGTCCATGTACTAAACCAATTTAGTACAGTTTCAATAAAAGACAGAAGGGGAAAAAGAATGTCAGTTCACACACTCTGGCAATTTACAAGGCACTTTTGAGAAACAGCATGAAAAGCACTACTGGAAGATACTAACCGTGTTTCAGTTTTTAAAAACTGAATATGCAATTTTCAGTTCTTTAAATTTTAAAAAACTGAATATGAAACAGCAATCTTAACAATCTACCTACTGCAGCAACAGTTCCAAATTACTAATCACAAAAACATAAATTGAAGAATGAGCAAGAAACTCTGACAGCATTTAGATATAACTTAGTGGTAGGTGTGAGGACGTATGAGGAATGGGTCACTGAACTCAGAAGACCTGCACCCTACCTTCTTCTGAAGAACGTTAACCTTCCGCTCCTTCACATCCAACATGTCCTTGAGGTCGTGGATCTCCCCAGCTTGCGTCCCCTTCTCTTCGGCCATATCCTGAATCTGCTTCGTCTTTTTATTCAACATGGTTTCCTTCTCTTCCAAACGCAACCGGAGAGCATCCACCTAAGAATGTAAGAGTTTTACAAGTGATGAATTAAAAAGAAAAGAATGTAATTCCTTTCAAATAGATATGTTATAAAGGTTATAAAGAGGTTGAGTTTTGTTACCCTACAGAAGTAAGTATCATCTACATCTATGTTTCTCTGGATTCAGAGTCCAGCGTGCTCACCATTACACAACGGAACCTCTACGACTATGTTTCTGAAACTTCATGTGCATCAGAATCATCTGGAGGCCTAAATCAAGTCCGTCGTTTCTGATTCAACAGCGTGGTTGGGGTTCAAAATGAGTATTTCTAACAAGTTCCCAAATGAAGCTACACTGCTTTAGAAAATCTAAAACTAGGAAAAGGGAAAAAAAGCATCACCAAGCATAACACTGGCTATCTCAGATAATACAATCTAGTATGAGAAACAACCCCATAATGCACTTAGATATCCATACAAAGCAAAAGCAAAGGTCTACTTTTAGATGGCAAGACTAACCAGCTAAAAAGTTTGGTAACTAGTTACCTTTATCCCTGAAGTTTAATGCCTTTCATTAGATATAACTTTAAAATAACAAGAAATCTAATGACATTTATTTTAAAATCCATTCACAGAAAATTTTATTAAGCTTTTAGCACCCCATACATATTCACACACCAAATTTGCTTTTTGCTTTTCCACCCAAGGATTAATAACAAATAGTTAAATATTTGATTACAGGAAAAGAAGGAAGTGGATTTCTTTTATCTAAGATTCAGGGCTGTTCACCAGGAAAACAGTGAGTCATATTTTCAAGCCGAAAATTGTTAATAAGCTGTTTTACATTCTTTTTTCATTATTGTCATTTCAAACATATAATCCATACAAAAAACTATTAATGAACTATTTTATATTTTTTCATAATAACTCTTTGATAGTTAATGTATATTTCACCTTTATATCACATCTCGATTTGGGCTAGCCACATTGCAAGTACTTAATAGCCACAAATGGCTGGTGGCTACCACAGAGAACAGTGCAAATCTAAGAAATCAAGTATGGTTCTACGGTCTCTCATCTTTAACTTGTCTTATCTTATTTTTCCTATCTGAACGTGGATTAAACCACAAAGAAAATATGAATAATGTTTCATATTTAGGGTACATCAAAGCACTCAGGAAGATCTAATACAGGTTGACCATCCCAAAATCTGAAAATCCAAAATCCAAAATGCTCCAAACTCTAGAACTTTTTCAGCACTGACATGACACTTAGGAAATGTTCAATGGAACATTTTGGATTTTCGGATTAAGAATGCTCAACCAGTAAGCATAAGTGTAAGGCAAATATTCCCAAACTCAAACTCTGAAACACTCCCAGTCCCATGCATTTTAGGTAAGGGATATCCAATGTGTGGTGTATTTAAACTACAAGGTATCTGAGAACCAATACTGTGTGTATGGTGGTACTTCCTGCTCAGTTAAGGAGCATGGAAAATTTCTTAACAAAACTTAGTCTCACTGGAGATTGCTATAATAAGTACTTGCTACTACTGTAAGTACTTACAAGTCATGTTGGACCATACTGGAAAGGAAAAACATGTAGATAAGCCATATTTCACTCTGCTAAACTACATTTCTACCAACTACTTCTTTCATTTTTATTTTTGAGACGGAGTCTTGCTCTCTTGCCCAGGCTGGAGTGCAGTGGCGCGATCTCAGCTCACTGCAAGCTCCGCCTCCCGGGTTCACGCCATTCTCCTGCCTCAGCCTCCCGAGTAGCTGGGACTACAAGCGCCGCCACCACGCCCAGCTAATTTTCTGTATTTTTAGTAGAGACAGGGTTCCACCATGTTAGCCAGAATGGTCTCGATCTCCTGACCTCGTGACCTGCCTGCCTCGGCCTCCCAAAGTGCTGGGATTACAGGCGTGAGCCACCGTACCTGGTCTCTACCAACTACTTCTATGCAACCAGTCTCACCAAGTCAGAAAGTAAAGAACAATCATTTGAGCTCCCATTTGTAGTCATTCACCACAAGTTCCACCATGCTCCTTCCAAAGACTCCTTCATCGGTAATTTACCTCTATTCTACTTTAATAAATATACATAGTTAATTGAAATATAATCTGGAAAGATCTACCTGAGAACTTTCAAACCCTAAAAAAATTTTTTCTGAATCACAAATACTATTCTTTTCTTTCTCCTACACCTACTAAATCTACCTTTGTCCACAGCATTACCTCTCATCTATCATACCTTCTTATTCTGTCATTTGTCTCTATTCTGTTTTTTGTTTTGTTTTGTTTTCCTCCCAGCTTAAGCAATGATTTCAGTCTCATATCAACTCCTTAAAAAAAGAAAATCATACCTGTTTTACTTTACTACTTTATTTCTGAATTAAACAGTCTTCTGGGCCTTCCTGCATGTGTTCATGTGTATTTTTGTCACCATATACAGTAATCCCCCCTTATCATCAAGGAATATAATCCAAGACCCCCAGTGGATGCCTGAAACCACAGACAGTATCAAACCCTACACACACTCTGTTTTTCCTCTATATACATACCTATTACATAATAAAATTTAATTTACAAATGAGTCACAGCAAGAGATTAACAACAATAACTAGTAACAAAATAGAACAATTTTAACAGTATGCCAGCATCATTACTCTTGTGCTTTGGGGTCATTATTAAATAAAATAAGGGTTATGTGAACACAAGCACTGAGATACTGCAACAGTCGATCTAACAACTGAGACAGCTACTAAGTGACTAAGGGGCAGGTAGTGTGGACACGTGGATACACTGGACACAAGGAAGATTCACCTCCAGGGTGGAAGAGAGCAGAATGCCACAAGATTTCATCACACGACTTAGAAAAAAAGCATAAATTTAAAATCTGTAAGCTGTTCCTTTCTGGAATTTTCCATTAAATATTTTCAGACCACAATTGACCACAGGTAACAGAAACCAAGGAAAGCACAAAAGCAGTTAAGGGAGGACTACTGTATATACATTAAAATCCTCACAGTTCTCAGGTATCGTATTTTCTTCCCTTGCATTCTCCCTGTGGAAAATTTCACTCTCTCTCATGGCAATGTGGGAAACTGGGCCTTAGAGAAGACAGCAGGCCCAAGATCTCACAGCTACAAATTAGCAACAGAGCAGAGATTTAAGATTAAGATTAAGGCCTCCACTTTGGGAGGCCGAGGCAGGCAGGTCACGAGGTCAGGAGATCGAGACCATCCTGGCTAACATGGTGGAACCCTGTCTCTACTAAAAATACAAAAAATTAGCCGGGCGTGGTGGTGGCGCTTGTAGTCCCAGCTACTGGGGAGGCTGAAGCAGGAGAATGGCATCTGGTCTTGCCTCCAGATCCCACACTCTGAACCACTAATTTTCTAATACCACCCTAACCCACAGGAGCCCAGCAGGGAATTCGAGGCCCTCCATGGTCAGACAGGCCCAATGCACCCGCACTGCCTAACCTTTGCCATATGCCCCTTTGCCCCACTTCCAGTGGCTCTCTGTTCCAGCAGTACTGCCATTCTCTGAATAAATACCATCCTTTCTTGTCATTGTTCATCTTGTCCTATGCTTGTAATATCCTTAACCCCTACCACTTACAAACAATTCTGCCTGTTGAACACATCTTTCAAGACCCTCTTCCTATGCTGCCATTTTAATAAATACGTTCCAATCCCCCAACAGACAAGTGCTGTCACCCTCATCCTTTCCCAGGGTATTTTGTTATATAATTTAACACTTTTTTTCCTCTTATAGAACTTAGTAACATTATCATACAGAACTTACCAATATTTCTATACTTAAAGTAATATTTTAATTTCAAAAACCTGTATTTTCCCCCTAAAATAGTAAGAAGAATATAATTGTTTTAAGTTTTTGCAAATCTCTTTAATATCTGGCTTATAACCAAGCAGAGGGTGCACAAGACCAGCTTTAGAATAAATGCAATTTTGGTACCATCTAACAAAGCTTAAATGAGAGACCCAAAAGAATGAAACTATTTCCAAGTATTTTACCCACATCACAAAACAAAGTTCAGTAATATTTACAGGAATACAAAATGCCTAGCACCCAACGAGGTAAAACTCACAATGCTTGGCATCCAATCCAAACTCACCAGACATGCAAAGAAGCAGAAAAACACAACTCATAATAAGGACAAAAAGCATTCAATGAAAACTGAAATCAGAAATAACACAGATTATGGTATGATCTCACTTACATATGGAATCTAAAAAAAAGTTGAACTCAAAGAAACAGAATAGAATGGTGGTTACCAGGGGCGGGGGATAGGAACAGGGAGAGGAATGGGGAGACGCTGATCAAAGCGTACAAACCCTCAGTTATGAAATGAGTAAGTTCTGGGGATCTAACACACAGCAGCGTGTAATTAATAATGCTGTATTATAGAGTTGAAATTTGCTAAGAGAGTAAAAATCACAACACTCCACCACGCAAACAAAAAAGGTCCAAAAGGGAAGTGTCAGAAGAGACTGAACATTGATTCCGTTAAAAAAAAAAAGCACTGCAACCACAGAGTACAGACCTTAGTGGAATACGAAATTCAGCAACCAGGCTGTTCAAGATGCCAAAGAAGGCACGGACCCTTATCCACTGGCACTCAGGCACAGCTCAAGCCAGTCAGTGCCGCTACTAATCCTATTTGACAGTATCAGATTTGGTTCCTATTAGCTGAACCCATTACAGGGCATCAGTGATGGTAAAGGCGCTTACCGAATCTGGTGACCCTTCTACACAGTTACGGAACTCAAAGCCTTAGAAAAGTATACATGTCAGAAATTTGAAAAATAAATAAATCACATGATCATTTGTATCTAATTACTACACGTTAATCTGTATTTTGTATACTATACATTATTCTACTACTACCTCTAACCAAAAGCAAAAAACAAAGCAACTCATTAAAAAAAAAAAAAAAGCTCATGCTGGTAATCCCAGCACTTTGGGAGGCTGAGGTGAGCGGATCACTTGAGTTCAGAAGTTCAAG